CTCAGATAAAGATCCTCGTTTTACTGCTAGGTTGTGGCAAAGTTTGCAGAGTGCCTTGGGCACTAAGTTTACCTTTAGTACGGCTTATCATCCTCAGACTGACGGACAGTCCGAGCGTACTATTCAGATCCTTGAGGATATGCTTTGGGGTTGTGTCCTTGATTTTAGTGGGACGTGGGAGAGGCACCTGCCCTTGGTGGAGTTTGCCTACAACAACAGTTTTCAGTCTAGCATCGGTATGGCACCGTTTGAGGCCTTGTATGGCCGACCGTGTAGGTCTCCAGTGTGTTGGGCCGAGGTGGGTGATGCACCTTTGTTGGGCCCGGAGTTGGTTAGGGAGACGACGGAGAAAGTTGAGCTTATCCGTAGGAGGCTTGTTACAGCCCAGAGCCGTTAGAAATCTTATGCCGACCGTAGGAGGCGACCTTTGGTATTTGAGGTGGGTGATCATGTCTTTCTGAAGATATCACCTAGGCGAGGATTAATGAGGTTTGGGAAGAGTGGGAAGTTGTCCCCTCGGTTTATTGGCCCTTTTAAGATCCTTGAGAGGATTGGCGAGATTGCCTATCGTTTAGCTTTGCCGCCGCAGTTGTCTGGAGTTCATGACGTGTTTCATGTGAGTATTCTTCGGAAGTATGAGCCAGATCCATCGCATGTATTGGATTGGACCGACTTAGAGGTTGATGAGGATGCCTCGTATGAGGAGAGACCGATTCGGGTCTTGGATAGGTGGGATCAAGTCATGTGAGGCAAGACCATTCCCTTGGTAAAAGTCTTGTGGAAACATCACGGAGTGGAGAAAGCCACTTGGGAACGTGAGTTGGAGGTCCGAGAGAGATATCCGGATCTATTTATGGATGTTTGAGCATGTATTGTATATTTTGTTGTATTGTTGAACCTTAAGAGTATTGAATATATCTTAGGTTGTAAAACATGGCTTATGTTTTGATTTAATGGAAGTATTTTGTAACTTGCCTCAAAATGGAAGTTTAATGTAACATTGCATATGTTGGATGTATTGTAGAAATAGAAATATATCATGAATACTAAATATGATATAGAATTGTGGAATGTAGTACTGAAATTTGTGGAATTTCAGGAAATGCATAACTGTAATGCATGTTATGGAAAATGTTGTAAACTGCCTCTTGAAAAGAGATGAGATGACCGGTAATGGGTCGAGTTGTTAAAATTCGCATTGTGATAATGTTGGGAATCGAGAAAATCTTGTTTTTGAAAAACTTGTATTTAATTTCGGGGACAAAATTCTTTAAGGGGGGGAGGTTATAGCGATCTCGGTTGTCCCTTTACTGTTCTGTTGTATTCCGGACTCGGTTCCGTGGAGTTGGTATTTGTATCTATCCTGTTGTCGTCCTTTAATTCCATTTGTTTGAGTTTTAGGATGTGTTGGGCATGTTTCGAACAGGTGGGTCGAACCTTGGTCTAAAATCTTGTTGCCAGGTTTTTGGTCATTCCGCTCGAGCGGGCCTTGTTACGCTCCAGCGGAGATTGCACACTCCTAGTATTTCGTGTCCCTGCAAAACTTCTGCAGGTGTGATTTTTACACTCGAGCGGGTTTCTTTACGCTCGAGCGGTCGCGCTCGAGCGGGTACTCTGGCGCTCGAGCGGGTAGTACTTTTTGGTGTAAGTTCTGGGAGGGGGAAATCTATGCTCGAGCGGACTGGTTTTCGCACTCGAGCGGATGTACTTTATTCTTGTGTCTTGGCTCTCGAGCGGGCCTTCTTGCGCTCGAGCGTACCTAGTTTTTTGTTCTTGACGCTCGAGCGTTGTGTTCTCCGCTCGAGCGGGAATGTCGTATATCAGTTGGCAGCTGGGCATTTTAAAATCACTTTTTACATTCTCTCTCTCTCTCTCTCTCTTACTTTCTAAAATGATATTTTGAGAGCTCCTCTCTCTAGAAACTCCCTTCTCTCTAGGGTTTGATCTAGTTAGAGTGTCCCCCTATCCTCCGGCCTTTGTAAAATGTGTGTTGATCATCGAGGGCTCCATTTTGATTCGTGGATCTTTGAGTTTTGAGCATTTTGGTTTTCTTCAACTTTCCCGTTTGAGCTCTAACTTTGAGGTAGGGATACCCTACTCCTCTTTATGAGCTTTGTCTTTGAATTTTAGCATTTCGATATGTTGGGGGTTGTTGGGCAATTTTGAGAAAGTTTGGGTCTTTGTGTAGTTTTACAAAAGATGGGGTTTTATTTATAATTAAACCTATATGCATGTTTGGCATGGAGAAATGACATAGATGATGACTATGGATAAAAGTGGAACCTTGGAGTTGTTATGTTAATTATGGGAAAATGCCCTAATTAGTTGGATAAAATAATTTGTATAATTAATTTTGAGAAATGAGGAATTGAATTGAGAGTATTCAAATTGAAAGAGATTATGGGATTAACGGGTGTAGTTGGATTCACTTAATCACTCACCCTGGTTGAATGTTGATAATATATCCATTTGTGCATTTATTTCCTATTTAGAAATAACTGCTTTGGGCTATCGGTGGAGGATAGTCATGATTGTTGTAGATAATGCATGATGATTAGGCAAACTGAAACTAATCGATTGAGTATGCTATCGAATATAGCGGTTGGAATAATACATCGACTTTATGTATTGGTTGCTTATGTATATGATCTATGTTTATATACATTGTGTGTGTGTGGGAGGAGATAGGGGATGTACTCCACGGTTTAGGGGAAGATAAACCGGATTTCGTGTGACATTGATACAACACTACAATGTGTATCAAGTGTTGATTATGGAAGTGTTTACATTGATTTGATATAGCACTAAAATGTATATCGTTATCAATTGTGAAGTATAGAAGTGTTTCTATGTTATGTTGATACAACACCAAAATGTGTATCGTTCGTATAGTATGGAAGTGGGTTATGTGTTATTGATACAACATCAAAATGTGTATCCACCATGAATTTTGAAAGTGTTTTAAAAGATGAGTCTTATTCTCATCAAGTTATTTGGCTAAGTTTTGAGCCTTGTTTTCAAACTCAAAGTTGAAAAAGAAATGAGAAATGAAATGTAACATGGACTTAAATGTCATGAAACCAGAATGTGATATAAGTGAGTGTATCGGTGTTGACCATCTATCAACTGCTAATCTTTTAGTCATTGTTCATAGCTGGTTTAGCATATTTCTGCTGGGCTGTGGCTCACCCTTTATGAGACATCATTTTCAGGTACAGGTAGCATGCCACCTCCAATGACATAGCTTGGGAGGCTAGAGGCAGACAGACTGCTTTGTTATTTGCTTTCTTTTGATGTATTACATGTAAATTCAAGCCAAGGGCTTAATATGTATTGAGTTAGTACTCTTCTTTTTGTGACCAAGTGTTAACTTAGAAAGCTGTAAGCCCGTAGGGCATTTGCTTTTGTTGTTAACATGTAATACTTTTGTAAGAGCTACTCAAATTAATGGAAAGATGGGTGGTTTCTTTGTATCAATGCATGTCTAAAGAGATGGGTTTTATGTATTTTTTTGAGGGCGTTACAATATATGGGTAAATTACAAACGCACCCTGAGGTTTGCTTAAAATACAGATTATCCTTTGTGGTTTGAAAAATTATAAATACCCCTTATTAGAATTTTTTATTTAACAGAATTAACCAAAAAAATGAAATTCATAATTGCTTTACTATACAATAATAAAATTACCTAAATTATTAATTGAAACATATTTTTAACATCATTAAAAATTGTTAATTGACTTGATGATTTATTAATAAAATGGGCGCTTTGTTATGAAATTAGAAATCTCAGGGGGGAAATGTAATTTTCAAAACCACGGGAGGCAATGCATATTTTAATCAAATTTCAGGGGGTATATTTGTAATTTACTCTATATATTTTTTTGCAGAGCTGATAGAGAGCTCTAGTAGAGCTACTCTAAAAGTAGCTCTAGTACAACCTCAGGGTTGGAAAAGGAAAAAAAAAAAAAAAAAAAAAAAAAAGCAAAAAGAAAAAAAATAAATTAATACTATTTTAGAGCTGTTCTTTAAACATTTTTCATTTTTTTGTTGGTGGGGTTAGCTATATATCTATACTGCCATATAAGTGGTGCTATACACATGATTGAATAATGATTGTTAAATTTATTTTTTAATTACTTTTTTTTTTGTTTTTTTGTTTTTTTTAACAATAAGCTATCTCTTTTTTTAAAAAAAAATAAAATTAATCTTTAGTATTTTTCAAAATTATGACATAATTTTTTATTTTTCCAATTTGTTGAATATATATAAAAAGTAAAAAACGAAAAATCATATAAAAAAATTTGAAATTTTTGAAAATATGACAAAAAAATTTTGTTATTTTCTTTTGCTTGTCTTTTTTGAAATTTTTAAAAACTTTTTAAAAATTTCAAATTATGTATGCTTAAAGTTTCACTTCAACTATCCTTTTTAAATTAGATGCAGCTAAGAAATGGTTAAATTTTTTGTTTCGAAATTTTATCTATAGTTTTTTATTTTTTTAAGTTAGATATGGTTAGATGTATTTTATGTCACATTTATATTTTAATTTAAAGAATTGTTTTATTAACATTATAAAGTAAATATGTTCAAATTTTAGACTAAAATAATAATTGGAATTACTTTTGATTACAATTACATTTTGACTTTTTCAAAATGCTTTTTAAATTTCAAGTTAGGTATGGATATGGCTACAACCTTTTTTTTTTGTTTTTTACTTTCTATACAAAAAGAATTAAATTTTGAAATTATAGAAATATAATATAGATATAAATAGTATTGATAATATATGTCATAAATAGTTCATAAATTAAAAACAATTCCATATTAATCAAGGAATCAATTAAAACTTTAAAATAAACAACCAATAGTAATTTGCCATGTGTATTTATATAATCTTTTTTTAAAAAAATTAAAATTTTATAAAAATAGATTCTGAACTTTAGAAATCAAAAACCTAACAATATTTTGCTTATATAATGGTGTAGATAGATATATATCTATATAATAAGGCACAAAGATTTTTGAAAAATGTATCAAAATGTATGTGAGATACATTTTGATCTAATGGCTTAAATTACTTCATCTAAATTTTAATGGTTAGGATGTCTTTGAGCATCAACGGTCCAAAATGTAATGGTCCAAAACTCTCCTCTCTGTCACAGGTACTCATCTTCTCTCTCTCATTTCAATTTTTGAACTCTCTCTTTCTCTTTTTTTTTCTCTCTCTCTCTCTCTCTCTACCGTGATGCGATGCCGACAGACCATCGCGATGCCGACACCACCGACCGCCTCCTTTCCTCTCACCCTCCTCTTTCGGTTTGGTGGGTTTGGGTTTGGTTACCGACACCACCGACAGACCATGTGGGTTGATCTTCCAACTTAAATGGATTGATCAATCAGGTAGGTTGATTACGTTATAAATAATGGGTGTTCCGGCTGAGTCACGGTGGAGAAGTCAAGGCCGACGGGAATTGCGATTGACGGCGGAGATCATGGACGCCGGAGATTTATGGAAGATCTTGGATCTGTTCAGGAGGTCAAGTTATTGGCTAAGAAGGAAGATCGGGAGGGTTTGGATTCATCTTCTTGGAATACAAGGGTGAATTTATCGGGAGGGTTCAGGAGCTTCTTCTTCTTGGAATGCAAGGGTGAATTTCTCGCTTTTGATTGTTTGAATGTGTGTTTTCTTTTTATTTATTTTACTTCTGTTTTATTTATTTTACTTCTGTTTGATTTTTGTTTATTACATATTGAGCTGTTTCATTCTTCGTTGTTTGGATCAAATTTTACTTCTGTTTGATTTTTGTGGAAATATAGGAAAATTAGAAGAAAATGTTTATTGCATATTGCCAAAAAAATTCCATTTGAATGAGTAGAGTGCAATACCACTATGTTGTATATCTCTGTTAACCTTGAAACCGAATTTCATTTTTTACATTCATGAATACATTGATATATTTTTAGTTTCATCGTCTGGGTTTAAAATTGGGTTCATTGGGGCTTATAATCTGTGTAATTTGGGGCTTACAATCTGTTTTTATATTTGTAATTTGGGGCTTACAATCTGTTTTCATATTTGTAATTTGGGGCTTACAATTTGTAATTTGGGGCTTACAATACATGGATATATTTTTAGCTCCAATGTTTAATATTTGTAGTTATATTTGTTTCCCGTGTATCGTTTGTGATTAATTTTATGATTAGTTTTATTGTTGTTGAAACTATGATATGGGTAAACGTAGATTAGTTTTATGATTAGTTTTATTATTGTTGTTTATTGTTTTATTTTTAGCTCCAATGTTTAATATTTGTAGTTATTATTATTGTTCAAATATTCATGGATTTGGGTCGTTTCTGTTTTTTTCAGGAGGCATCCAGGTGAAGCTATGTGGAATAGCTCAGTATGGTAATCTCATAGGTGTTACAATTGGATACACAATAACGGCATCTATTAGTATGGTGTGAGTATAATTTTAATGGACTTGCTTTTCGGTTTGAATCTCCTTATTAGTCTTTTATTGTCTTATTTATAGTAGGGGGAGAATTCTTCCCAATCCACTGTGTGAGTTGGAGGCTTTGTGGGGGCGTAGATATACCATAAAATTATTTAATTTGTTTATTTGTTATTTGTAAATTATTCATAAACAGAATTATATTAATTTAGTAATTATAATTATGTGATTTTATATATAAAAAAAATTGTGGATTATTTTTAAAATTATACTTATCGTCTATTTTTTTAAGACAAATATATATGATGAAATAATGTAGTTATAATTATCTTATCAATCTAATTTTTCTCATAACTAATTTATACATAGGATTTGAAAAAATGAACAATTCAAATTATCATAATAACGGACTAAAATAATATTAAGATTTGAATTGTTCATTTTTTTAATCAACATTTGAGTCTTAGATCACAGTTTTTGAATGATTCAGCTAATGATCATTTAGAAAAAATAAATATAAAAATGAAAACAAAAGCAACAATTGTCCCATTTTTTTTTCAAATACTCCCCCCACAAAAATGCATAGTCAGTCTATACATGCGTAATAAAATTTTCAATAGATTTCATTGTGTACTCACCTTAAACTGGGGTATGACTCATGAGAGCAGGGGCATTATTCATTCTTCATAGCAGCCGGTTTTAATTAAACGATATTCAAAATATTTTTACAAACATAGTGTACATGAATTTACAGAGAATCACCGAACTTCGCATCACAATCAGAAATCGTCAAAATCACAAACAATTAACTAATTTTTCAGCAATTAAAGCAACAATAGGATGAACAAACAATCTCAATGCAAATAACCATATAGAATTCACATCAATTGGGATTCTTTGTGCTATATAGCATAAATCTGCTGATCAACATTTGATATGTTAAAAAATAAAATCTAATCATTTCAGTTTTCGCTTGAAATTTCAGATTTTGGCTTGAAAGGCTTGCGAAGAAAGCAGAAAGTTTTCAGGTTTTCTCTCTTTCTCTCTATGCTTCATATTTAAATTGTTGATTCATGGTTTCTGGTTTATCATCATTTCCGTTTATGGTTCATGGCTTATTATTTGGTGAAACAGAGCTACTTCAGAGCTTCACCAAACCTAGGTAATTCTGGTTTATCATCATTTCCTCTTCTCTCTCTGTTCCCCTTCGTTTTCTTCTCTTGCCATTTTCTCTCTATCTGGTTCTGTTTTTTATTAAATACTCTCACATGCAAATACTTCAATTGTTGATAATTTGAGTTATAATTTGAGTTTAGAATTTGGGTTTAAATTTCTGGGTCTATATATTTGAGTTAGAATTTGGAATCATGTTGGTCTAACACTCTGGAATCATCTGGGTCATGCAAATACTTCAATTGTTGATAATTTGAGTTATAATTTGAGTTTAGAATTTGGGTTTAAATTTCTGGGTCTATATATTTGAGTTAGAATTTGGAATCATGTTGGTCTAACACTCTGGAATCATCTGGGTCATGCAAATACTTCAATTGTTGATAATTTGAGTTATAATTTGAGTTTAGAATTTGGGTTTAAATTTCTGGGTCTATATATTTGAGTTAGAATTTGGAATCATGTTGGTCTAACACTCTGGAATCATCTGGGTCATGCAAATACTTCAATTGTTGATAATTTGAGTTATAATTTGAGTTTAGAATTTGGGTTTAAATTTCTGGGTCTATATATTTGAGTTAGAATTTGGAATCATGTTGGTCTAACACTCTGGAATCATCTGGGTCATGCAAATACTTCAATTGTTGATAATTTGAGTTATAATTTGAGTTTAGAATTTGGGTTTAAATTTCTGGGTCTATATATTTGAGTTAGAATTTGGAATCATGTTGGTCTAACACTCTGGAATCATCTGGGTCATGCAAATACTTCAATTGTTGATAATTTGAGTTATAATTTGAGTTTAGAATTTGGGTTTAAATTTCTGGGTCTATATATTTGAGTTAGAATTTGGAATCATGTTGGTCTAACACTCTGGAATCATCTGGGTCATGCAAATACTTCAATTGTTGATAATTTGAGTTATAATTTGAGTTTAGAATTTGGGTTTAAATTTCTGGGTCTATATATTTGAGTTAGAATTTGTTTTTGAGTTTTCCAGAATTCTTTTAGGGTTGTTTGCCTATGCCATTTTTACAAAACTGACTACATAAAACAATTTTGGAAACACATCAATCTGTTACAAAAGATAGAGTTTTAGATAGATTACTCTACTTATATTTTCCGACTATAGTTCTGTCTTATGATAAGGTTTGGCCTCAGGTAATGTTTAATAAAGTTGAAAATACAATATTAAGTATTGAAAATTGAATGTTAAATTTATTGAATTAAAAAGTTGTTTGATCAAAATTTAAGTACTAAACTAAAAATAAATTGTTTGATATGTATAAGATAAAATTTGAAATTTATTATTTTCAAATCGTTATGTATTTTAATCGTTGTGTATGGTTCATCGCCTTAATCTCTCTGTCGGGCTGTTCTGTGTTGCCCTCCTCTCACTAACTTGAGGCAATTGAATAGCAAACTGATACATTTAACTTTGATACCGAGTTCGTAAAAGTAGATCAGGGAACCCTCTTCGATCTCATTCTGGTTTGGTTTTCTCCTCCCTTTTTGATCTCATTGATGATTGAGATTTTATCCTTTTGATTGCCTAATGACTTTGTGATTAGGGTTTATTGATTTTGATTGTATTGTGGTTTTGAAAATTATTTGTTAATTTATGTAAAGTGTGAATTTGTGGTTGAGAAAACAATATTGTTCATTAGTGATTTCTAATAGCGGTTAGGTTCTACAATTTTTTTTCACATATATGAGATATTGTTTTTTTTTTTTATTATTATTATTTTATTTGGGTAACAAGAAGAATTATGTTAAAATTGGGGAATTATTGATTGTATTGATATTGATGTTATTTAGACTCTTCCCATTGTTATTTTGATGTCCTAAAATGCTTAACAAAGCCAATATAGTTAGGTTTGTGTGAATGCATTTAACAGAGGGACAACGTTGAAACTTCTTAATAAAGTCAAGTTACTTATGTGTTTATGGGATATTTATGTGTTTCTTTGATTTGGAAAACAAGAAGAATTATATTAAAATTGGGAAATCTAGGGAGTATTTGGTAATTTATAATCTGCAAGGTATCTGAAAAATTATTGAGAGGAGTTAGAATTCCATAGAGAAACTGATGGATTCGCAAAAATTCTTATTTATATCACTTGGGAGAACAGGAAAGTAGGTACTTGCAATTTGTACATGTTTGAAATGATTTGGCAATTCTAGACATAAAGGGGAATTTTTTATGATATTTGCTAATATTTTGTGAGTTGATGAAAAACGCGTGAAAAAATTGCGTCTTACTGTTTGGTGAAAGTGTTGGAATATAAGTGTGAGAATATAGATAACATGTTGTTTGAGAGATTGATTACCTCCTTACGCATTTCCAGTCATCGTAGTTCTCCTTAACTGGATGAAGTACTGGAGAATATGACAGAGTATTGTAAATCACTACCATTGTATCTCTATACAATCTTTTAATCAGGAATAGACAGCATCAGATTATCTTAGATTATACAGTGTCCGACATGACATGACGCCTTATTGGATGTGTCGGTGTTTCGGTGTTTCTTAGCACATATGCAATACCACCATGTAGAAGTGCATATTACATATGCTGCCTACTAATCACCTCACCTTAGGGATTATATGGCCTGAACCCATTTTTACAGTATCTGATGGTGCTTATCTGAAAGTAAGCACGACATGATTTGAGTTGTTAGATAATTTGTTATCTAAGGGTTAATCAATCATCTCATTTTATGTTTTTAATTTATGTAGTTTAGAATTTACTAAATGGTTGTTGTAGCCCTAAAGGTTTGGTTTGGTGGCTCAAAAGTTAAAATACCCTTTTGTGAGGCTCTATCAGGACAGAAATCATATTCTGGAAAAAAGAATAGACAAATAGTTAAAGAAACAAAATAAAAGGACCAAAAATAAACCCATGTAGTAGTATGATTGCCACTAACACAGTGAGATTTGAAATTGCAGTTGAAGTGCTGCCTCTTTGTTTTCAATGGCCAACTTTTGTTTTAAGCTTCTGCTATATTACATAAGCTAGGGATATATTACAATTTTTAAGCTTCTGCTATATTGCAATTTTTTTTTTAACTTGCTCTTATATTTTGATTTACAATATTGGTAAACATTATAAATCTGATATGTTTGTTTCTTAATTTGCATTAAGATTAGAGGAGTTGTCATTTTATTTGAGTTTCTTAATGGCCAATATTGTTGTTTTATTTGAGTTTTGATTCAAGTTCTTTAAGAAGAAAAATATTTTAATATATTTTTATAACTGCATTTTAATCTTAATATTATTTACACCGTACATTTGTACATGAACTGCTACTTTTTAAGCCTGTTTTTGTTTAGAAATTTAAGTAAACATAGATAGGAATGAAGTCTCTGTACAAATGTGTTTTTGAAGTATAACTGATACGGACAGGTCTTTTCATCTGAGTCAAAATTTCATATGTTGTTGGGGATGATGTTTTGTATTATGAAACACCAAAGCACCACAATTGTCTTTAGTTGCTTTCCCACCTTTTGTCTCTTCCCAGTCCGACACATTTGTCCATAAATTTGTTTCTCTTACATAAATTAAAAGCCACAGCTATCCCTCTTTCAATTTCGCTTCCCTTAACTTTGGGGTGCTTAACTATTCTTGGTAAAAAGTCTCTATTTTGGGGCATTTAGGACAGCTACACATTCTTGGTAAAAAGTCACCCTTTTCACTTCCCTTCTAATTTTGAAGCTTGATTTGCAGATAGTATAAGAACAGTTGAAGGGTACTCGGATATAATTGTGATGAGGCACTTTGAAAGTGGTGCTGCTCAAAGAGCAGCAGCCACTGCCAGTATTCCTGTTATTAATGCAGGGGATGGTCCAGGACAGCATCCAACTCAAGTAAGCATGATTTTTGTTTTAAATGCAATCCTCTGGTAGATAATTGAAGTTGTTTGCTTGACTTTGTTCATGAAAACCCTTCAGACTATCTTTAGTTGGATTCTTCTACATATTGAAGTTGAATACTGACATGATATTGAAGTTGTTTGCTTGATGTAGGAGTTTTGGGCTTAAAAAATTGATGTCTGTTTTGCGTGCATTTCTGTATGTTCACTATCTGTTTGTACAAATGTAAATCCAAACCTTGAGTTAACTTTCAATTGATCTAAGCACTGTTCAATGTTTGTGTTTCATCGTCAATCATCCATAACAAATTTTCTTGAATCACTTGTCACAAATCATGATCGATCATGATTTATCTTCTTACTGTTTGTTAAGGGATGCATATAGTACATTAAGTTCTTTTCTGTTTTGAGGTGTACCTATTCTCTCTTTTACAGACTGGCTTGATTGTGTATGGAATCAACACTTTAGTAGTTTTTTGTGTGGGCAGCAGGCAGGAAGCGGTTCCAAGTCTGCTATGTAAATTCTTGCACTATAATTTTACGACCTAGCAAAAGGGATAAACAGTAACTAATGACCCCATTATAATATTTTTTTGATAAGCACATTGTAGTTCTTTTGATCAGACTGCATTTCAGTTTTTGTAGTTAGATTTTCCTTTCATTCATTATCATATATCTCCATTTCCTGAATTTCTGAATTGGTGCTATGTATATTCAGATGCGTTTCATTCATTATTTATTTTTTGGATTCTGCTAATGTAGTTAAAACAGTGTAGATGTTTCATTTTGTGTGTGAAGTCCTAACGAATTTTGATTTTGGTTTTAATTTGAATTGGATACTTTGATGATGGTTATACTAGAAATGTATCAATGTGCTCAATCTTCGTTTATTTATTTTTCTTAATTAATGATTGAAGACTGGATAGTCATCTTTTAAACATAAACTTGACATGCAGATCTGGCCATAGAGCAAATGAAGATGTTCACTTGATAGTGAGGAAATCTACAGCAGGTCTGCATTTGAATATGAGAAATATGGGATTTGTTGTGCCTACACAAATGGAAATTATAGTATTTTTGGTGCATGTATGGTGGTGAAAATCCATTGGAAAATGAGATTGTAAACTTACAGACTAGGGAAAGCTTCGAGTACCTCTCTTATAATGTAAGGCTTATTTATTTATTTATTTATTTTAATCTTATCATATCTAATTTTTGTCTTATAAATGTTTTGTTCCTCATACTTTTTAGGTGGATATAGACTTGCACCGAACAGTAATATCAAGAAAGAAATGATTTTTTTTCTTATTTATGTATATAAAGTTTTTGTATATAGATTCAATTTCTTCAAAAAAAGAAATGTTAATGTTGTTGTTCACGATGAGCGTGACCTTAATATTATTTGCATTCGTGGGTCTGCTTTTAATACAGAAGGGTTGGGATTACAATTATATTAAAATTGACAGTTTACAATTATATTAAATAGTGTTGGGATTATAATTATATTCTAATCCTAACGTTATTAACACCGTGCCTTCAGGCACGGGCATACGCTAGTATATATATATATATTCACATCTTAATTGAACTTTGAGAATAAAAAAAATTGTAGAAAAAATATATATACTTTTCAAATGAAGATAGTGTAGCCCTCATGAATTTTTTAGGATAGTATTAAAGAAACGGCTCACGGGCTAGATTTTTTTTCTTTTTTAAGCCCTCATGCATGATCAAATATATATACTATATACCAGTGGGTGTGTTGTATTACTAAATTTGTAAAATATAACGTTTGATTTTGATAAATTTTTAAAATATAAAATTTAATTTTGATTTAAAAGTATATATATATATATATATATTTCTTCCGTATTGGGGCTTTTGGGTTCGAATCCCATCCAACTTATTTTATATTGTATATCTTATTCGGCATTTGAATTAAATTTAGAAGAGTGATTAATAAAATCTTAACAATTTTATAATTTACAGAATTAATTTTAATTTCTTCTTAATTTTTTATTTCACCCCCTCCTTTTAGGACTCAGTAGTCCCTATATGAGAATATCATATTTGGATATCTGGATCATAGTTCTAAATAGCAGTATCGGGTAACATAACTGTGATGCCCCAAATTTTTGGAACATCATAAAATTTAAATAACAAAATAACTTGCTAAATGAAAATTTTAACATATAATTAGGGAAATTTAAATTCTCACATAGTCAAAAGTTTAACACAAAAAAAATTACAAGTCCAAGTACAACGTTAAACAACATTATAACATTCTTAATAATTAATACAAGAGATAATAAAATTTTATTTTACTAAATTCTTGACTTCAAGTTAGCCGAGGTTTTATATTAATAGCAACTCTAATGTCAGCTTCCAATCCTTGATCGTCAAAATCTGGCATAAAATGTCAGGGCAACAAAATATATGCCATGAGTTTTGCAATACAGTAAGAAAAATACAACCAATCTACCATTCTTTTTAAGAGAAAAATAATCAGATAATAATCCTGACAATTAAAATAATAATAAAATTAGTAGCACGATTAATATAACAATTATAATAATTTCAACAAATTTTAATAGTTTAGGTGACACTCAAAATCTCATCAAAGAGATTTTTTTAACAACTACTAAGCCATGGCCATAGTTAATTTGAAAACCTCCCATTGGTCAAATATTCAAGAACTATCAAAGATGCCCACACTCAGAGTTATATACCCAAGCTGTAGCATCCGTGGTCTGCCCTGAGGAAACGGTTTGCCAGGGCTATGTAACCTCCCTACGTGCCACCCGTACATCCACCCTTATCTCAAAACCAAATACCAATAAGGGTTTAAATAAGTCTCGTACCATCTTAGGGTTTTGCGACACAATTATATAAAAATTATTAAAAACCAAGGCTCATCCCGAACTACCGGTATTAATCATCAATCGTTAACTTTGTATATACCATTAATCATTTCAGTTAGTTTTTATATGAATCACAAATATTTAAAATTTCAATCACCAATAATGTTATACCAATTCATTAAAATTCTCAACATAAAATATTACACATGTCACACAATAATAAATCAATGTACAAAATTTAAATAAAAAGTTAATTTAAACCATGGTATGAAATGATAATTTAGATACAAAGAAAATAAACCATAAATCACACACATGCATGGATTTTTAATTTACAAGATTAGACTAACACAATATTAAATTTTAGTCCAAATAAACAATTGAAGTGGTAATTTTGGTTTCTTCTCAATCTGCTAGAAATTTTCGTAATTAAAATTATAAATAAATTACTTATACAATTCTAAAATTCGTAAAAATCTATAGAATACTGAATCAACATGTTATGGTCATTTTTCAGAAAGCATTTCCCAAAAATAAATTATAAATAATTCTGAAAAATTCCAAGAAAGTTTATGACACAGATTTTTCACATTTTCTTAAATTAATTCCATAATTAAATTTATAAATCAATTCCATAATCTAAAAATTTATTATGAAACTAAACTTCTCAAACTTCGTTTTTTATTTAGAAATTATCAGATTTGGTTTAATATAGAACTTTTAATGATTTTTTAAACATATAGTAAAATCTGTCTATAGTTACAGATTTGGTTAAAATTTTGTATAAATTCGTACAAAACTCAATAATTGTTGGCAAAATTCCTGGATGAACTAGACGTCGTTCTCAACAACTTTGTAGAAGAAATCATCTCAAATTTTTTAGTATAAAATTGTCTAAAAATTCGTACAACTTTCTGGCAGATTAAAGAGCAAAAAAAAAAAAAAAAATCTTTAATCATCTCTTTAGTGGCATAAACTACACATGCAAGTCTAATTCCACAATAATACCATGGTTTTAAGACTACCAATATCTTCAAATATTTGATATATAAATCACAAAATTTATATACAACTATAAATAAAATTCTATCTACAATTTTTGCTTTGAACATAATATGAAATTTTAACTTTTTAAAAAAATGAGTGGATTGAGAGGGTTTTCTTACTTAGTAGTAGGGTTGAAATGGAATGATGAAATGGTAGGAAAATATGAAATTTTCTTGATCCACTACTCTTCTTCTTCTAAGCTTGCTCACAGGAATTTCCCTCAGATTAGTTTGAGTAAGAAATGTGCACTGTAAGCATGCATATAAATAGACTCCTAGGCTCTCTCTCTCTTTTCTATTCATTCTGTGGAGTCAAATCGAATTTTCCCATTCCAAGAGTTGTAATGAGGACCTACCTCCTATATTATCATGCATGCAACCAAGTGGCAATGGTGCCACTGAAAAATCTGATCTAATTTTTTTTTTGTTGTTGGTATATTTGTGTGGGTTTCTCAAAAATGATAAACTAAGGTTTTTAACTAAGATATTTAGTAAGGATAATTATCATGTTGAACCCTTATTAAAATAATTTATAAATAATAAATATTGAATACCCACATTGGTCCGAACCCGTACCGGTCCGAATCGGTGAGTATCGGCTCGTCGCGGCTTGTGTAACGACTTATGTAACGGTTACAGACCGATACGTACCGGGACTCGACTGATTCTCCTGCAATTTTCAATCTTAGCGGCATACCAGCCTGTATCCGTTGCGGTGCCTTATTTTTCGATACGAACTGACCGGTACGTAGCGTATCGGCCGGTTTTTAGAAAAAAGATCTAGATAGGCTATTAATCTCAATCACAATTCTCTTAATCAAACACGAATTATGTTTTTATATTAAATTATTAATCCAATCTAAATGACATGTCCCTAAATAAATAAGGAAAATGGCATTTCAATGGTAAAATTTTACATTTTCATGGTGATGAAATTCTACTGTGTGTATTATGAAAATTCATTTATGTGTTTGGTATAACTCTTTTTTTTTTTTTTTTTTATATTTGATCGGCAAAAAAAAGACTTTTATTGATGAAATCAACATGATACACATGAGAAAAACATCAATAAAAGGGGCAAGAGCAAA